CTCAGAATCCACGTCGGGGTTCCCCTTTTGGGTGACCCGGATTAAACGAGCAGGATCAAAAGTTGTCCTGCGGGACCCATTGCTATTAGAACCACTCTCCAAGCGTGAGGCTTCACGAGTCGACTCGGACCGATTGTCTCTGCCAAAGCCACTCAGCAGCGCCTTCATGTCCTGCCGCGCCTGGCACCCGGCGTATCCTGTGGCAAGTTGGACAAAAACGTGACGGGCTTGGTGGCTTGCCTGCTTGGTTCTGGCTGGCCTTGGCTTCAAATGGAAACCGCGATCCGAAGAAAGGGAAACCGATGCTGGGCAGCCAGGTCTCTGCCAAGGATGTCTTGCGGACAGCGGCTGGCATCCGCAGACGCGACCTTGCGGACACGCCGGAGGAACTACCAAGCCCTGCAGGGCTCGATTCAATGAACCCTTGTAGACGAGAACTATCTTTGAGGGAAACTTTCCTAATGGATACGTTATATGTGTGTGTGTGACATGAGCAGCGGTTGTAACGTGGCTTCAAAGGTTCATGCGCATCCCTAATTTCAATGTGAGAGGATCCTAAAGAAGGGGTGCATGTCAAATGGACGCCCGAAACAGCTCCCTCCAAATACATGGCTGACCCAAGGAATGGCTGGGAGGTGGTTCTCTCACTCTGTTCGTGCTGCTGTGATGCTGCTGTGTCAAACAAACCGTGCAAGTAGCACAAGTGGTACTGATGCGCTGCAACAGTCTTGCTTCGTCAGTGCAGGTCCCAGTGTATTTCAAATTTCTATGTCTCGATATATTTATTTGTGGGTCCCGATATGCACACATGTAGTTCAAAAGAGACAACAAACTCCACACCGGTTCCCATCTACACGATTCCAACGAACCCAAGCAGGGACCTTCGTCAATGGTATGGGCTCACTCTAGCGTAGCTTGTCCAATATTGCCCAGTGAGCTAGATGGGTTGTTGCGATTGAGGCATCCACGTCACAAGGCACTTCCACAACCTGGACCTTCAAAGGTAAGCCCTGGGACCTACGGCTATGGACGAAAGAAGGGTGCCGAAAGTTGAAAACATGGGTTCGTTGTACAGCAACAGCCACACAAAGAAGTTTAAGCATCGACCTGAATAAACATAACAAGTGCCAACACCCTGAACCTCAGCTTGCAAATCTTACCGTCTACGACCGGCGCAAAACGCAAGAAGTAGTATGCTCTAAGCGTGACCCCAATGCGAATTGGATATCGGTTGCTCCAATTCCAAATCAACAATACCTCCCCGGTATTGGGCGCAAGGCTCAATAGAGAGCAGGTTGAGTTCTTCAACTTGCCCAAAAGGGATTTTTGCATGGCTCCCTTCAACAACTAAAACGCACAGGACCCACTTCCATTCTTTGTCGCCTGCTAGATTAATCTGATTGCTCAATGCTGCAGGCACAACATAAAGGCAATCTCCGATGCGTCGTCAAAGGTATTCGATCTTATTGTCCAACTGTTTGACGCAAGGTCCTGTGACCTGACTTCTTCCCTTCAAATGTGGTCTCGCGGGTTACCCACTCTCACATCTTGGTGTCAACCCCTGAGCTCCCAATTGGAAGAATCCGTGCCAAGCCGCAATGCCCACCGTGTGCATAAAACACAGCAATACACCCGCCGACAAGATGGTCAACATACCTTGGTACAGCGCCACGCAAATAACCAGAAGCAATTGGGATCAGGGCTTAGCTGTTGACCTCCTTTTGGGAACAGAAAGGCACCCCTCACCAGTGTAGCGCCCTTTTCGTGTCCATGTAGCTTCCGAAAAAGACATGGTCACCACTACTAGCGCTTTGGCACTTCAACCCCTTGCATTTCTTTATATAGATATTATGTTAGGCCGATTGGGCAGTGAGCGCCGCAACTCGTTTCCGAAACCCCGAGTAAAGTTCCAAGGCGGCCAATTCGCCTTTTTCGGAATCCGGCAATCCCTGTGGCTGGAGTGAAAAGCCGAGTCCTGCTGCACGCAGTTTGCTTAACTTGCCTCGACCGAAGTGTGAAGACAGGCTGGAACATGGGAGTTGCAACCATCAGCTCTTGTCACAAACAGTACTCAACAGCAACTTGTCCATTCCTCGGTAAACAGTCGAATCCCTAAACTCGCATGCCCTGCCCTGACATCAGCTTGGGAGGCTTCTCAAGAGCTGCTGACACGCTGACAATGCTTAATCGTCAAACTGTCCCTTTGGGGTGCTCCTAGGAAAGAAGACACGCGCAAACACCAACACAGACACAAACACAAACACACACGCGGGGAGATGTGCGATTGCCGAGCCGGCTTACTTAGCTCCAAGGCAAGCTCCACAGCTGCGAAAACTGTTTGGAAAGCACAGTTGAACTCCAAGGATGGCATTGACCCAGGCAAGAACTGCTAACACAGTTCTGATCCACAGACTACCCGGAAAAAAAAAGAAAGCCATGGCAGGTGGGGCCTTCCTACAAGGAGACAACCAATTCAAGAATAATTCAAGCAATGTAAAACTGGCAAGCTGTGAGACCAGCTCTTTGTGCTTTGTGGGAAGCAACCTGGAATGTCCTGCCAATCAGGATGGCCCACCAAGGAAGCCGTTCGGGTCCCATTTGATGGCGATTCCTTTCCGCTCATTGCGAGCGAGGCTCTCACAATGCCGGTGGTGCACACCTGAGATGAGCGCCGGGAGCCGGGAGAAGCCTTCATGCAACCAATTCCGGACTGTGATAAAGCCATGGCAAATACAGCACAAACACAAACAACAATGGAAGTCCAGCCACCCCGCGTCAGGTTTGGGTTGAGAACATTCCCACACGCTTACAAGGGTGGCTCCAAACCTCGCCGGCTGCCTCCCACAAAGGCTTGTGCAACTTGCTCCCCACAGCCCTGCACGTAGATGGCAAGAATCATTTGCTGAAGGCACAAAACGAACAAGCAAACAAATCCTTATCATTTTGGCTTCCCTAAAAAGCAAGCTGCTTTTGCGTTTAAGCACTTTGGGGAGATCTAAGCAGTGATCACACGGAGATGCAATAAGCTGACCCATTCGCTTTCAGATAACTGAAAGGCATCCAAGTCTCCAATAAAGGCCATTCCCAGTGCCGAGACCGGTTGGTTCCGTTGCAGCTGCGGATTGTCACCCGGAACCCAAAATGCGGATTCAATTTGTGCCGGGTTCTTGGTGATCCAAGAAAATAATGGAATTTGGTTGGATGATGTTGAGTTCTTTGTTGGGGCAAACAGGGTCCGGCCATGTGGGTTCGAACCTCCCAACGCACCCAACCCAACCTGATGCCAAGCGATTTCAAACTGTTTGAGCAGGCAGCAACGGCCCCCAGTTGAGGCCCTAACTGGCACCAATGATTATAGTTTACCTACAGCAGCATGGGGAAAACCTGACTACTCAGGTCCAATGGGATATTGCGCACATTGACTGTGATGACTTCCTACTTTCATGGATAGTTTGAGGGCCAAGGCACTTTTGTCACAAGTGGTATTCAACTCTCCCCCCTCCAAAAAGAAAAAAAGGAACAAAGATGGAACAAAATATGCGGACAGTTGGCCAAACACCTGCCACAAAACTTTACTGGACATGTGACTGTTGACTACGGTCTTTCCTTGGCTGGCCATGTGATGAGGAGACGAGTCAAGCGCTTGCTCGGCACTTACTTGGAAAGCTGCAACCATATTGAGAGCCATTCATTGTCCTGAGTTTGATGCCGGGCATGCTGCAATCTGCCAAGATGCATCGTGACCGCTTGACAGCCTGAGCTGTGGCTGCAGTTGACGAAGTGCTGAGCAAATTTAAAATATCCATTAAATGCTCGCCTCTTTCTCGTTTAGCTGCAGCTATGCAAGGCTGAGCAGGACGCAGCCCTCGTACAGCCCTTGCATGAGGGCTGCGACGAGGTTCAGCTGTAGAAACAATCGTAAAAGAAGGACACGGTCAACTGGCTGAGAATCTCCCCTTTCCCATTGCTCGTTTGTTCGGAAAAACTGCCATGAGCTGCTGACCTGCTTCACTCCCCTTTGGTGAAGCCACTCGAACAACAACATTCTAAGCTGCTGGTGTCCAATCCCATACTGAGCTGAGGCGCACATTGCGTGCAGGGCTAGTCATGGACCTTGGCCGGGCAAACACGCGAGCACGGCAAAATGGGAGAAGAACCTTTCCCTGAAGTTGCTTGTTTGAATAAGGGGAACCAACTGGAAGCAGAGCAGAAAGGAAGCTACTCAAAGAGGAGCAATAGCGAAGTTTCCCTGCCTTAGATAAGCCTGCTTGGAGCCCTTGCGGGTCCACGTGCATGTAAAAAAATGAGGGGCAAAGAGCGAGCATGGATCACCTACTTCATTGCTCCTTTCAGCTACTTCCTCTTGGCCAGCCAAGACAACTCATGAAAGAGCCGAGCTCCCTTGGAAACTGTCCGAGTAACAAGCTAAGTCTGAGCAACAGGCAGCCTGAGGCCAGCACAATTGGACTCGATATGAATAGATGGGAGTTGTGTGCGATTGGTTTCGCAACTCCCAGTACACCTGACCTGCTTGGACAGAATGGCTGCAGGCGAAGTGATGACTGCTCTTAGGCCCAGGTCTCCCAATTCGGGATACAGGAATGACAACAACTAGCAATTTGCAAACATGACAATTCCCCCTTACAACGATCACGGAAAAGCAAAATCATACGTCCCTCAAACATGGACGACACTAGCACTGGCCAAGGTAACTTGCCACAGCTGATCAAAGAGTCGTACACCCAAATTGCTTCAACGGCATTATCATGTTCACAAGCTAGGTGAGGCCACCACGCGTTATCGCGCACTTGCAATTGGACAGAATGGGGTTCCCCTAAAAAGGATTCCTATCACCAATATTTTTTGGCTCCATGCGATTCTGCAAGAATGCCTCCCAGAGGCATCCATGGCCACTGGTTTCGAGCACGTTTGCCATTGACCCTGACAGTCGGGCAAAAGTGGCTCTGTCCGATGCAGCAGTCTGGAGGGGGGGGTCGCACGTGCCCCGCGGTCTCAGCACTCTTTGCACCTGGCAAGGGCTCCACAGCTCAAGGGATCAAGCCAGCAGTGATGTTACCTAACCAAAAGAATAGGGTTTCATACCGTGGGTTCACGTGGGGGTTCATACAGATTCATACATTCAGCTTTTGGGAAGTGCCAAAAGTAAAAAATGACCAAACCCAAACCGGTGAGCCGGGCAATGACGGGGGGAATCATTATGAAACTTTGATTAAGTTATCAACCCTTGCGAGAAAGGCGGGGGACACCTCAACATGGGTATGTATCAAGCCACGGCATCAGTCGCAGCAACAACCAGGCCCCCTGCCCCTTCGCGTCGACCCGCCGCCAGAAAGGACTTAAGGTGGTGCAGCTAAATTTTGAACCATGGTGGTGTCCTACATTGGGGATCCTTTTCTGGTTTGGAAAGGTGACACACGAAAGCACGTCTTGTTTGTTCCTTTTCGTTTATTTTGGAGGGATCACCACTGACAGGGCGGGCTTGTACCAAAGTGATTGTGAGGGGATACCAATGTAGGCACAGCATCCTGAAACAAATCACCGCTGGCATCACCATGCGTGAACAGCTAATGAGCGTTCATTTGGGGCTTCAAACGTGTTGTCGTGCTCAGCCCGACGCCGGCCTCCAACAAGTACTTGTTGATCACAGCTGAGGCGTTGTCACCTTGAGATGCGTGATGCGTGCAAGGCGCGCGCAAGACCAAGTTGCCTAAAAACATATCCAAACACGGACGATACCCCGATAAGACACGGGATGGCAGCTCGTCTGCCCCGGAAGTGGGTTGGGGCATCCCCCAACAAACCAGAAACCGGGAAGGGGCCAGGCTCCAACAACTCCCAAGTGAGAAGCGTAAGGCAAGCAGTGCTTTTGTTCAGTCCATCCTGGTCTGTATATATACATATACGAACATATTGAGCCTTTCAAACCTTCCCTTTGCCAGTCCGTCATGGCCACAACATGCAGTTGCTCTGTTCTCCGAGAATTGCAACCCTACGATTCACATGGCCCAATATACGCCTGCCAGGGCCACGGTCGGGCTTCTTGCTTAAGATGTCCTGACGCAAGCGGGGCTTATTTAGCCAGGGTGTCCAAATCCCCCCTTGGAACCAATCGTTGCCAGGGCCCCAGCCACAGGCAAAGGTGTCAAGCACACTCTTGTCGATGACGGTGTCGAAACTGCTCTCCGACAAGCCTGGGAACCGTTCCCCCATCCCTCAGAAACTGATATGGGATGTGCTGGGTAACCCCCCAAAAACAATGAGAAAAAGATCAAAGATCCAACCGAAGACAGGCTGCAAGCATTGACTAGCCACCTAGCCCTCAAATGGTGACTCATCGGTCCTTTTCTACCATAGGCAAACTTTGGCTTCAAGCCGGGCTCGGGAATTCAAGTGAAAGAAACAACATGCTGGAGAACGCACATATACATATATATATATATATATATATACACGTCTATGAGCCTACAGATATCTATAATATGTGTACAGATGCATGTACATCTATATGTCCATGTACCTATTTTACGTACACCCAATTTGTAGGCGAGTCAATCCAGTTCAACGCTGTGCGTGGGGCAGGCCCTAAATAACATGTAGAAGACACCCTCTAGCCAACAGCACTGAAGCAATACTTGTGGGCGCAACACACACGATTGAAGGGCGAAAGGGTATCCCTACGCCTCCCCACATTTTGTCCTATCTTTCGGTTGGGTTACTTGCAGCACTTAGGGAACCCAAAGCACAAGGCTGTGCGATCTGGGGCAAGTTGATTGGCGACACCGCACCCTCTCCCTGCTTCTTTTGTGGGCCAGGGTTGGCCTATTGAAACCTCTTGCTGCGAAAACAAAAGGGCTTACTGAGCAAGATATGTGGGTCTTCAGTTTCTGCACCCCTCCAATGGAAGCGCGCAGGGCTTCCGAAGGGGTTCGTGAACCGAACCATGCTTGAGAGTAAACCCAGTCAGCCTCCACCTCGCTTGTCGTGAACTGGACAGGGTTCACCTGGCACCTCCACCGCACATGGACCCAAAGTGTCAAGTAACAAGCGTCAATAAATTAGTCTGGAAAAGGGAAACACCCACTCCCTTCTGGCTTCCTTTGAGAATTTAGCCCACGCCTTTGCCCCCCCAAAGAAACAAAACATGGCTTTTCACAGGGAGGCATTAGATGCGGACCGGCCTAGCGCCGTGGCGTCCATCTCCAACCTGGCAAAAGGTCGAATTTCCACCTCCCCCAACTGGTCGAACAAACGACTCCCCCAGCATTTGATGTGCCTAATGGAAAATGAGCTGACTTTTTTTTGCGGGTACGCCTGCCGTGTTCCTTGGTTATGCGCAAGGAAGGTAGTTCACTACCTCCGGGAACCTCCAATTTCGGCTGAGGCCAGCAGCGCCAATCAAGCTCGCCCGGATCAGCCGGGATGTGAACCCCCAAGAAACGGACTCAAAAGCCGCTCCTACACCCACTGGGTGTAGAAATCGCCAGCTTACACAGCAAATCATATTCATGCAGCTTACCAAAAAGCTGCTCTTACACCTATTTGGCGTGAAATCGCCGGCTTGCACTACAAAAACATTTGAACTGGGTTAGCTCCTGGGAATGGTCGCATGACCATTCGAGTCATCTGGAACATGCTTGGCTGCTCATGACCGGACCCACCCAGAACTGCACAAAGCACGAGAGCAAACAGCCCAAACCTGGAGCCAGGCACCCCCAATGATTAAACATGCTTCTCCGCACGGTACTTCTATATTGGGGGAGGCCTGCGTCTCTGGACCGGATGACCCAGTCGTGTCGACTTCAAACGAATCAACACAAATCAACCTAGTGGATAATTAAAATAGGCTTACCAAAAGTTGAATCCGTTTTCCCACTCGGTCCGAATTGTCACTCTCACCAATCTCGTTGTTTCCAAGGAACAACTTCCTCTTCGCGGGCACGCCCAATGAGCCAAGGTATTTTGCAGTTGTCATTAAGGTGCCCCGGTATTTTGCAGCCGCGTTGGCTTGAAGGAACCCGCCCACAAACACAAGGTGACCTGCCCCAACCTGCCCCATGAATGTCAATTTGCGTACCGTTTTGGCGTCAAAGTGGCCCCGAAGGGGCGACCAATGGTCGGCCTGCTTCTCAGGGTTGGATAGCCGCTTCCCTGCAATGAAACCCGACAGAAGCCCCCTGAGCCATAGTCCTATGGTTCATCATAGTTGGGAACTTTTCTGAGCGGACAGTAAATCAACTTTCTTACTAAGTATGAAACCCAGGAACTCGGGGACTGAGCGAACTCGCGAACTCCCATGAATACCCCTCGAACACATCTGATCCAATCCACAAGCCGCAAGCCAAGCCAGTGCTGCCACTTCAGCTCTGGGCGCATGTCCTTGTTCCTGGTGTTTTTTGCGCAGTGGCTGGTTTCCTTTGGTGTCCCTTTTCAACCCCAAGGGTGATCTCCAACAAGGGCTGCTCAATACGGAGGGTGGGAAGTTCCAGCGGAATGCACACGCAAACAACAAATGCCTGTTCTTTAGGCAGAGACATGCCAGTTCAATCTGCCGCTAAACTTACCAGTCAGCTGATGTGGCTGGTTTTGCACGAATAAGATAGTCAACCAAACACCGAAGGCCGACGCACTGAGCCTGCTCACTTGGACCCCTGATAGCAACCAAAAGGTCATATGCGTCGGGAGAGCTTCCAAAATGTTGTGCCTGGCTTCCCTCATCTTCCTTCTAAGGGTTCACGGTGAGACAGGATGCAAATCTGACTTCTCCGAAGGCTAAAGAGCATTTGCCCGGCCTGGCAACCATCTGCTGAATGCACACCTGAACAGCAAAGCCCATGTCCAAAAACGGCTGCTTTGATGGATCAATGCACGCCCGAACAAAGGTGCCGAGGTCCGGGAAAGCCTGCTGTAAAGTCATGACGCCGCCCTCATGGAAGCAACAAACAACAAATTGGAGCAAAATAAGGTGGGCTTTCAATGTCCCTGCGCACATTAGAATCTTCTCATTGTGGTACGCGGGTTGGGCTGGAGCACAGTTGATTGGAAGGGAAACCTCTCCAAAGCAAAAAGGTGCCACTCGAGGTCTTTGCGTTCAATTGAGAGAGAAGAAAACACTCAAATCCTCTAAGTCCCCCGGAAGAAGTCGACTATTTCCAGTAGTGATAGATCTCCTTCAAAACAAACCTGGGACAATACAAAAGCATGAGCAAATGGATGCGTTCCAGCCAGGCGGCCATAAGGCAATTGCCCAGAATAAATCCCCTGGCCCCAAATCAATCGATGGCCAGTTCGCAGTGCAAAGGGAAACCAGCGGCGGGGTAGAACAACAAGCTACAAACAGTACGTATCAGTATCCCCCATTGAAGGTTTCCCCGGCACGCAAAGGCTAATATGCGGCAACTCGGCATTCAGACTTGCAAAGCACCGGAAAATCAAATCAAGCTCTTGCATTCTAAGCCTCTAAGCAGTTATGCAGCCTGTGATCGATCGGGTCCGTACCCCACGGGCCAGGCCTCAGCATTGTCTATGCTGGTTATATCCTTGTACCCATGGTCATACCTCGCAGCATGCAGCCACTGCGCGCACACAACAGTCTAAGCGAATTGCCATAATGCCCACATCAGAAATAAGGGAAACCGCCAGGTGCCCCTGGCTGGGGCACATTGCTTCGGGAAGCAAGGAGTTTCCGCAGCCCACGTGCAGGATTGCAGCATCCGATCTGCCTGAAGTTGCCTGCCGAAGGGAAACGCTCGGGCGGGGGGTTGATTCATTGTGACACGTGTCTTGTGGAAAACGAAATGCACCCCAGGATGGCAGAAACCTGAATTAGGAGAAACCTTGATTTGGATTTTTCTTCAAGGGAGTTTGCATATCCGCCTGAACGAACTGGCAACAAAAGCTGTTACCGCCCAGGCCTGACGTCCACTGCGAATACCCCTCTGGGTTGATGATTGGGTGGTGCCCTCGGGGTTCAAATAGCCAGCATGGCTAGACTTACAACCAGCATAACCACGAGGGCTTAAGAGCCGAGCTCATGACAAAATCATGTAGCAGTCAATTGCAGGAAGCTGCCTCAAACATCACCCCACCAGAAGGAAACTTGTCTTAAGTGGCCCTAACAGTGATGGTTCGTTCAATCAGCCCAACAAAACATTTCAGGATGCTTGCTTTACCCGAACATCAAACATGAACTAACCTATATTAGACCTCCGACAAACATAGCACCTGCGGAAGGGTAGCTGGAAGATACATCTCCTCTTCAAGATCCCCCTGTCAGGTGCCATGTTAGTCGGGGCAGAGATTAACCATCATCCAAGACAATTCACCAAGCATACCAACACCACATGCAGGTCGCGTGACGGAAACGAGGGCGCCGCTCTGCACACAAAATGCAGCCTGACTCCTGAACAACCAGCAGCTAGGGTTGGTCGATACGAGTGGTCCCTTGAAAATGAGCTGTGGTCAAAGTATGCGGTTCCCGCACCGAACATGGGAAGATCTGGGCTCGTTTTGGTCCCCCGCCCCCCATTTTAGGGAACATGGCAACAGCAGATGAAGAATGTCTCTGAAAAGGACGAGGGGCCCTAGGACTCCTGTTTGCCTTCCATTGGGTGACAACTCTTGGACAAAATGGTAGTTTCCCAGGGGCCATGCTCATGGGGTCTTTAATGGTAGGGGACGCTACGGGACGTCCCTGCTTCCAAACCACGCTTTTCGACCCCCGTCTCACGTCCAGATCATGTCCAAAAACACTACTCAGCACGGATCCAAAAACAAAGCACACACAGGCCAGAAGAATCCAGTTCTGAAGCTGTGACTGTATCAAGATGTTTCTCCAAAGGGACACCTCCAGGTTGGTTGTGTTTCGATTTGTCCTGGAAACATTCCACAGTTTTGCCGTCATTTGCACCCGGCAAACTTCTTCCAAGGGTAGCCGGAAGGCCCGTTTCAACGGCTCCGGGCCATTCCTGCCTCCTTAATGAGGCTCTCGAGCTCAGCAAAGCTCTCCAGCCACTCGAATGGCGCGGTCTCATTTCGATACCTCCCCGCTTGAGGCACCGGGACACCCTGCTTCACAAGAGCAACACATGCAGTTTTACCGTTTTGCCAGTCAGGGCAGTCTTAAAGCATGGGAAAACCCTATACACCGGTTTGCATGCACCATGGCTCCGGGGATGACAGGGGCACCTCTTGTTCCAGTACTCAATCCCATCGCCATAGTTCTTCGCCTTAGCCATGCCGCCAAAGGCGCCGAGATAAAGAAGACAGCACAGGAAGTTGGCGGCGTGCGGTACTTAACGGGAATGGATAGTTCTTGTTTCGGCGACCTTACAACCCCCCTCCCACCCCTCAAAACGAAACTACCGGCCGGGCTCCCATTTCACTCCCGGTTGTTGCGGCATGGCTTCTGGGCTGTTGATTCGTGATGCTTTCCGAGTATGTTGCGTACAGGTAGCAAGGGAACCCTAGGACAGATATCGGATCTCTCGGTTTTCCCTATTTTCGTTCGGCTTACTTGTAGTACACAGGACATCAGCTGTTGGTGTCGGTAGTCCGGTGTCTTGGAATGACATATGCATGCAGGCCCTCAGTGATTTGGTTGTGTGAACTTCAGGAAGCCACCAGAAACCATCGGCGCAACAATTTAAGTTGCTGCGGTTTCCTGGCTGCCTTCAACATTCACCAAGGACTCCGCAACCTCGACGAGTTGAGGCTTGCTAAGCCTGCAGTTTTCAATAGCTATGTAATCGTAGCATCCTCCTCGTGCTCATGCGCTCCCAGCCTCTCACAATTCGGACTCGTTTCGGCTTGGCGCCTTGCCGATTCCTCCTTTCGCTTCTCACCTTGACCTTGGATCCGGCAAAAGCTCCTTGCCGTGACTGCGTCAAAACCAGATCGTGATCTTTCTGCTTGCCCCAAGGGTCGCAGGGTCTCGGAGCCAAAAAAAGGTCCTTTGACCCTCCTCAATCCGTTAAGGGTTCGGTTTGGGCACTGGGGTCTTCACATCAAGCCCCACCCTTTGGACCCCAGTTTCATACGCATTTCTCTTTCCAAGTGGGCCATAAAGGGCTTTCAAATCCTGTGGACCAAGAATTGTGCAACTATGTGCAACTGGTGCAATCCCTTTTGACACATACAGTACAGTTGCAATTGGAATCAACCCCTCCGGCAAAATGCGGGATCTGCATAAAACACAAGCACAGTTCGCATCGAATCGACACTCTGCTGATATAATCTTCCAGCCCAGTGAGCGCAGAACCTCCAAACCAGACTGAATTGGCCTTGAAGTCCAACACTTGCTATTTCGGATTGGCAAACTTTCACTACTGGCCGTGCGTTGCTGAGGCGACACACTGGTTTCGCCGACAGCCATGGGGCCTCAGCAAATCCGAAGCTACGTTGGACAGTTCGACAAATGGGACCAGGCGAAATGATTACGTGCTTCTGAAGTTTGTGCCCCCAAGAAGCTTATGTATATATAGGCAAGATCTGTTTCACCGGTGCATCAAGCCATCAATGATTAAAGACCTGACCGGCAAACGAAGCGGCTACCTTTTCAAACGGAACCCCGAAGGCCACCGTTGCTACAAATGGTGGGCGGCAAAGTTGCCAGCAGACCGTCTTTTCAAAATAACCGCGCCAGTCAGCTTTGCCAACTCCCCGTCTACTCAGACCAAGGACGCAGAACTAGCTAATGTGCGATGATCATTTTGTCCTGGAAAGATAATCCGCAACAAGGTAATTGCGCATCCAGGCTTTGCCGCTAAGCAGGCCTAAAGCAAAACAACAGAACTGAACGCAGCACCTGTAAACATGTGGAAGAGCATCTCAAGGATTTGGTTGTGGCTTGAACTCAAGCGTGCAGCTGCATCCAATGAAAAAGAGAACATGAAAGCATGACCCACTCTTAGCAACTTCAATGCTGGTATTTCAGTGCTGAAGCTCTCTTAGCAGGAGAGTTCATTAAACTCCACCAAAAACATGTCTTGCCATTGCTAGCAAACAGTATCATGATCACCTCCACCTCCGGCCCTCCATTACGAGGGAAATTACTACTTGGTAAGCTATTTTCCACATTGCAAGCTTGTTTTGCTGACTTAAACACCTTTGAAACCCAGTTTTTTCAGATGCCGTGGTCCTCAAGGAAGTCGTCCGAGGGTTCCCGAAGAGTTCAGAGCAATTTTGAATTTTGTGGCCTGAGACTTGGCATCGGCGGCCGCTAACAGGCTTCCTTAGCACATCCATCCCCAAAATGCCAGTAGATCGGCTTGCAAAAGTGACTGGCCCGAATGTATCTTTTCAAGGAACCCTGGGCGGGTCTGCGCCAAGGAGCAGCTGAACTTTGAAGCTGCGCCCGGCTCTGAAGCCAACGGCTGCACGGCTAGCTTGATATCATGCTCAAACTCCTGACTTCTGGATTGGCTAGAAGCCCCAACCTGCTGTTTGTGACCTAAGCAATCTTGCGGACATCACGAAAATGGTTGAGATGGATGGCTGATTCTACGCATCCACGACTGTTGAGATCAAAGGGCGGTTGTATACGTCCATAAGCGCCCGTTTACGAACCCATGTTGCCAGACGCGACCCCTTCAGGGCCTGGCGTCCCGTGGATGATCTCTCAATACTTTATATCAGTTCTTTCCAGGTGGTCCGTAAGGCACAAATCACGCTTGAGTGGGGTTCATCCATTGTCTGGGTACTGCCTTGTCCAAATGCTTGGAAAAAAACATGAAACCTTGCTTGACCCACGTTGAAAGCAGTCGTCCCAAACCCATTTGAAAGGTTGGATTTGGGGTGCAGGTTTAACAAGTCACATGTGAGACAAATCAAGGTTTGCTGCAATTACTCCCTTGTGTTTGCTCTTCACTCATGGTGGCAATCACAGAACTCACCCTGGACACCCAACTAACTCAGCATGCTAAGTGCCAACTTCGTGCAAACCTGGTTCCACAGTGCAAGGGCTTCATGGGCAACTCTTATTGCTGGAGCCCCATGACAAAGTGAACCAAAAAAAACAGAGAATGACGCCGTAACGGGTCAACCCAGGTTTTCGGCCCAACATGGCCTAATGGGGGTTACCAGCCAAAAGGAGACTTCTGGCACATGGCTCGCGCGCAGCCTGTTTGCCAACTCGCAGTCAAGAGCCCTCGATGCTGGCAAGCACCTCGGGGTGCGCTCTCTTCCGAAAAGGCCAAGAGACGAGGCCGCTGAAAGTCTTCAATCTCCCGCAACTGTGACCCGCGCCACAGTGGCATGTGACGCGTCAAAAGCTCCTATGAACCCCCTGGTATCAAACCCTGGTTTACATTTTACGGATTCATTATGGCTCCGATATGTTCTGGTACAATGCCCCAAACACCCATTGCTTTGCAGACTGTGACTTGGCCTGCTTTGATTGGCCTGCTTTGGCGTCCCTTCGTAAAACAAAATGCATGATGCCTCAAAACATGGTCGAGCCCAACCCTTAAAACAAACCAAAGGCCAAGTAGCTCGTTGCTCACCAAGCAGCCCGGTAGATTTTGAGCATCATCCCAAAGAAAAATGCGAGGCCTTTTGGCCTCCATACATGCACTCAGAAAGGCAAATTATGGGAAACGCCTCCATTGGGGGTATTCCCCGTGGGCGCCTTCCAGACATGGCTTGTGGGTGGGAGATTGAGCATCCTGCCACAGTGCGATCTGACCCGAACCTTGCCCAAGAACCTAAGAGATGGAAGGGTAGCTCCTTGGAGCCTTGATTCATTCCGGACTGAAGCGGTCGGCTTTCTGGACACTGTCTGAGTTCTTGTCTCAGACGCCTTTTCGTGTTGATCGACGGCCATTCGATCAACAGCTACAGGGTTATTTCAAGGGGTCATTCAGTGAGTCATTCAACTTTCTACGGAGCTTCAGGCACCTCACGGGAGGTTATTAGTCGGGGATCAGCATGAAGCAACATATCCATGGCTCAAAACCCCTGACCCTCACAGACTTCACACAAATCGGTTGCCCTGGGCACGGTTCAATGGATAGGGTTCCTTTGAATGAAACCCATGTCAGCATCACGCGGCTCATGCAAAACAATCATTGACAGCTGCGCACGTGATGTGCAATGGGGTCAAAATGTATCGGTTTAATCACATACATACCCGGACCAGATTTCTTGTGTAGGGTGATCAATAACCCACTCTATCATTCCTTTCCATATGCAGACTCAGGGAAGCCATAGAACACGTACAATACTAGAAAGAGGCTCTCATGGGTGTGGACCGGGATCCCTATACGTGAATCGGAGGGTTGCTCACAAAACAGGGCGAGGGAAGCTTCGCCAAATGGATTCGTCGTCCTATTGGCCAAGCCTTCCTTGGCTCCCAGCAGCTGCGGTGGCAGGAGCGCGGCGCGCACCCGCCTTGGCAGGGTTTGATTCAACCTTTTGGTTCAGTCTGTAAAGGCGCTCATGTTGACCCCCAATTGATACACATTCATAGGGGGTGGCCCCAAAAAGCGAAGGATCGTCATTGAAGATGTCGTCCTTGTTCCCCTGGGTTGATATTCTCATCCGATTCCAAAGGTCCTCTCTCCAGCAATCATCGAATTAGACAGGTAGGTTTCGGAAAAGCACATCGTCTTAAACAAGTCCAAATTCAAAACTCCCTACCCATGATTCGTCTAGGCACTGATTCCTCATTTTGCTCAATCTCGTTCTGCCGGTTGCTCTCGTCTTTTTGAGGGAGTGAACAGAAGCAGTTGCTCTAAGTGGTGGGATTTGTTGGATCCGACAAGTTTTGAACAATCCGTATGGTTTCCAATATGCAAAACTAAGGCATACATGCCATCCTGATTTCAAAACCAAAAAGAACATGCCTGAAAGGTTCACCATTTGCAAAAACCAAGCAAAACCTCGAAGAGAACCACAGTAAACAAAACAAAGTCGCAGGGATAACTGTTGTCTGGGGCATTTGTTTGTTTTACTCGGGGTTTTGTGTTTTTCAGATTGGGCCATTTTGTTGGCAAATCTCTTGCGCGCAAGAGCTGTCTCCGAGCGTTGGATGCCATGTCCCTTAATGTCGCAACGGTTCGATTACTCCACATTGCCTTGCAGGTGTAAACAGTATTGACCTGTGGTAGGGATTGAGTAACATGGATGGGGAGGAACAGAGGCGGGAAAAGAAAATCACTGATGTTATGGAAGGAAATTCCTTTCTTTCCTTAACAAATAGAGGCTTGGAAGGACATGGACATCGTTACATCTTGTGCCACTTCCTCATTTCCACTCTTCTGCGTTGTGGCTGTTGAAGGGGGTGAGGGACGCCAGGCTGTGCAAACATCCGGTTTACAGTGTCCTTGTATTCTCGTTCCATCACTGTCTCACCATACCGGTAGAGCCGGCGAAGCCGGTGGGCAAGAAATCCAAAATATACAAGCTATAGTTTTCGTTGATTCATTTCTTTTGTTTCTTCTTCGTCATTCCTCCCTTTCTTTCCATGGTTTCTCTATTTCTTCTTTTTTTTCTGTCTTTCTTTCTGTCTGTCTGTCTTTCTTTTTGTCTCTCTCGTTACGTATTAGATTGGTTCCTCTCTATCAATCTGTCTATCTGTCGAGGAAGCTCGCCCTATTTATCTATAATCTTCTGTATAGCTCCCTCTATCTGTCTATCTATCCAGATATTGTCTGTGTAGCCACCTATCTATCTATCTATCCAGCTCTCTCTCTCTGCCTCTCTCTATCTCTCTCTTAATCAATCTATCCGTTCATCTGTCAAGATCACTATATCTCTCTCTCTCTCTCTGTCTCTCTCCACCCACCTATCATTCTGCCTAGCTTTCTACTTATCTATCTATCTGTCTGTCTACGTCTGTGAATCTAACCTTTCTATCTATCTTCTCTCTCTCTCTCTGAGTCTAGCAGTTTATCTATATGCCTTCCGATTTGTATCTGTATGCTATTTATCATGTCTATCAATCTTTCCCACGAAGTCTGCGCTCGACCTTGCGAAAGCCCACCATCCTGCACCTGATCCTTGCGAAAGTGCTGCACCTGGCACGAAATCTGTAGCCCGACCTTGGGAACCTGCCTGCCCTGTTGACCTTGCGAACGCGCGGCGCCTGCCTCTAAATCTGCGCATGACTTTGCGGAAATTCTGTGCCTGCCACGAAAACTGCACTTGACCTTACGGAAGTGCTGCGCTTGCCACACGAAAGAATCGTTGCGAGAAGCACGCAGGTCCGCGCCAATGGGCTCGTGCTCCAAAGTTTCTCCGAGATGGCGCTGAACGTGGCCCGTTGGCGCGTCGCGATCAGGCTAGGCGCCGCAACCCGGGGAGGGCGCTTTTGCTCTCCGCTACACAAGCTCGCAATTTTTCCCACGCGCTTGTCATCTCTTGTCATATGCGCAAGGGAGCTGGCTTTCAGATAGTTGCCGCAACACGGAAGTTCCTTCTCAACATCCTCTGATTAATACGACCTCTGCCTCAGAAAGGCCATGTTGAGAAAGGGAGACCGTCGATGGAAACAATTCACACCACTCAGGGAATTGGAAAGCTGCAGCTTGAAATGTTCTGCCAACCAGCAAGGGAACAACGAGGTAAAAAGAACATGCTTGCTGCGCGGACGAAGGGACATTCGTGCCCTCATGGCTGGCTTCGAGAGCTGGTGATCTTGGAGAACTGAAACCTGCCGCCGCGTGAGCAACACCATAGCAACACCAACAACTCCATTTATTTGTTTGTGGTATTTGGCGTGGGACGATTGCTTGTTCCCTTCAGCCGGTACGGTCGGCGCGAAATGCATTGGGAGGGGAGGGGGGGAGGGGGGGAGGGGGTTGGGGGTGGCCTCGAGGCTTTCGGAGGACTTGAAAGGAACAAGCGCCGTGACATCTCTGGCAAGCCTGACTGACACAGCCAGCGCTCACCAGGCCAGGGTCAGCATCCCCTGCATGAGCAGCCTTCATCACTGGCACCGCAGCAGCATTGGCATTTGCAGGGAAAGTTGAAGCAGGGTGCTGCTCTGCAAATTTTGCTCCGGACATGCCCGGGCCACAGGGCGATACTCACCCCAAAAGGAATTTGCCAACTATTGTCACAGTTCACTTTGTTGCTGGATCCATTTCAAAACCAACAAGCATCAAGTGATGGATGTTGAAGAAGTTCAGGATGTGTCTATTATGATGTACTCTCAATCCTTTAAGAAGCAAACCGAGAACCCCCCGCGCTACTATATTAATCAAATCCGAATCTCTATCGACCTGAAGGTCGCTGCCCATTAATTTACAATGTCACGCTTCGCTCGTTCTACCCCCGAATCGGCGAGGATGGCTGCCAAGTTTATGCTTCCCACTAATCTGTGGGGTTAGGGCACCCATTACTCGCAGCCACAACCAGGGGTTGTAGAAAAAGACT